TCTCCAGACTTGTCTTGGATTCATTCGACGCTGCACGAGTTGAAGAAGGAGGCCAGCAGCAACAGGCAGCTGCTGGGTTGGATTTGCAGGCACCTCGACCAGCAGCAGCAGCAGCAGCAGCAGCAGCAGCAGCAGCAGCAGCAGCAGCGGCGCGCTGCAGCAGCAGCAGACGCAGAGACCTTCCACATCTTCACGCCCCTCGTCCTCAGCCGGCAAACCAGCGACGCGTCGCTGTCCGACTCGCCCTCGCCCTCGCCGCCCCGCAGCAGCAGCAGCAGCAGCAGCAGCAGCAGCAGCAGCAGCAAAAGCAGCAGCACGAAGGAAGTGGTGCTTGCGCCCCCGGGCTCCCCTCGCGGAGTCGTGGAGACTGCGAGCATCAGCATGGCCAAGAGCCGCGAGAAATTCACCAGCAGCAGCAGCAGCAGCAGCAGCAGCAACGGCAGCAGCAGCAGCAGCAAGCCGCAGCAGTCCCACTACTTCCCCAAAATCCACACTGCAGCAGGAGACCAGGACTGGGAACAGTACATCAGCACTAACAAGGGAGTCAGAAAGGAAGTGGGATAAGCGTGGCTAGCTAGCTAGCTAGCTAGCCGTGGCTAGCTAGCTAGCTGTGCATGGCCGGCTAGCTGCGCATAGCCAGCTAGCCGTGGCTAGCTAGCTAGCCGTGGCTAGCTAGCTAGCTAGCTGCGGGTATCTAGCAGGCTATAGAGAGAGGGATGGCTCGCAGCGCAGCTAGCGATGGCTAGCTAGCGCTGCCTGGCGGTGGCTAGCTAGCAGTGGCTAGCTAGCTGTAGAGCTGGCTAGCTGTGGCTAGCTAGCTGTAGCACTAGCTAGCTGTAGAGCTAGCTAGCTGTAGGGTTAGCTAGCTGTGGCTAGCTAGCTGTGGGACTAGCTAGCTGCAGCCCAACTAGGCATGGCTAGGCAGCCCGGGTGCAGCTAGCTAGCTAGCTAGCAGCTGGCTAACAGCTAGCTAGCTAGCTAGCTAGCTAGCTAGCTAGCTGCATGCAAGAAGGGCTGCGTGAAGGAAAGAAAAAGAAAAGAAAGTGAAGAGGAAAGAAGGCAGTGGCTGGAGTGTCGCGTCAGTGGGTGAGGCGGGTGTACGTACACCTGGGAGAAGCGGCTTTGGGGTTTATTTTTATTTTTGTTTGCATTTATTTCGCAGTTTGGAATAAAACTGCATTTAATTCGCAGTTTGGAACTAAAACTGCATTTATTTCGCAGTTTGGAATTAAACTGCATTTTTATTTGTGGAGAGAAAGAAGTTGCGGCGTTTGTTTTATGAGGGCCAGTTTGGGGTGTATGCGCAGCTCGGGTGTATGCGCAGCTGGGGTGTATGCGCAGCTCGGGTGTATGCGCAGCTCGGGTGTATGTGGACTGTTTGTTAGCTTTCTTCGCCACTTTTCTTGGAATTATTCAATTAATGTTCAATTGTTGTTCAATTGTTGTTTATTTATGTTTATTTATTCTTTCTTTTCACTTTTCTCGCACTTTTTGCAATTTCAATTCGCTTCCTCTCGGCAGTGCCAAAGAACGGCTCCTGGCAACAAACGGACAATGAATTTATTTATTTCTTTTTCCTTTTTCTTTTCAACTCTTTCACAGCCACTAGCTTGTCTTACTATTTATTTATTATTTATTTATTATTATTTATTTATTTATTATTTATTTATTTATTTGTTTTAGGTACTTCTTTTGCTGCGGAGAGCAGCAGAAAAGAAAATAGGAAAAGACATTTAGGCCATTCCCTGAGCTGCTGAGACAGCCCAGAAGCAAATTGGGAATTGGATTTAGCAATTTGAATTAATATTTATTATTATTTGAATTTATATTTCAATTTATATTTCAATTATTGATTTAAACTTCAATTATTTGTTTAATTTGTTTTTCACTCCAGCCAAAGCCTCCGGAGGGCGCGGGTGGTGATGACTCGCTGCAGCTCCGAGGTGTCTGTACACTCCAGCGCCTCCACTTCGCACTTGCAGTTTTTCTCTTTCATTAATTTGCATTCACTTTTTATTTTTTCATTTGCTGCTACTCCGGGGTGCTGCAGCAAACTGGCCAGCAGCGCCTTATCTCTTTTTTCCAGCGGCAGCAAAGCGCTCGCGGGCACAGCAGCAGCGTCTGCATGCAGCAGCCCCAGCCACCGCAGGCTGCTGCAGCCGCTGCTGCTGCTGCTGCTGCTGCTGCTGCTGCTGCTGCTGCTGCTGCTGCTGCTGGGGCGGCCCCCGTATTTGTAGGTCAGGTAAATGTAAATGCCGTGGGGGTCCCAGTCGCCCACAAAGGCAGCCTGCAGCAGCAAAAAGATAAAATGAGATTCGCAAGTAATAAGTTCCAAATCAACTGCTCTATTATGTTTCTGCTGCTGCTGCTGCTGCTGCTGCTGCTGCTGCTGCTGCTGCTGCTGCTGGTTGTGTGGGCTGCAGGGCCGTTTGGCAGCAGCTGCTGCTGCGGGTTGACTGGCTGTTGTGGACAATGAATTTGCTGCTTGAAACGTTTAATTTGATTTATAAATTGATTTAATTATTTTAATTTAATTTTTTATTTTTTTATTTTTCTTTTATTACCTCCAGCTGCAGCGACTGACACAAATGCCCCAATAAATCTCTTGTGCAAAAATCGGGAAAGCCGCGGCCGGTAATCAGCACGCACGGCAGCAGCTGTACGTACACCCGAATTACGCAGCAAAATAAGCACGCAGCAGCAGCAGCAGCAGCAGCAGCAGCAGCAACGGCAGCAGCAGCAGCAGCAGCGGCAGCAGCAGCAGCAGCAGCAGCAGCAGCAGCAGCGGCAGCAGCAGCACCAGCAGCAGCAGCAACGGCAGCAGCAGCAGCAGCAAAGGTGAAATCAAAAGCTTCTTACGTTCCAAAGCTGCAGGCCACAAAGGGCCTGGAAGATGCTGTCTTTTTCGACCACAAAAAGATACTTAGCAGCAGAAGCTGCTGCTGCTGCTGCTGCTGCTGCCACCATGGCTTCGGATATCATCAGGCCGCTGCCTTTGAACAAACAAAATCAGTCGCGGTCTTTCTGCTCCTTCAGGTCTAGGGTTTAGGGTTTAGGGTTTAGGGTTT